TTGTGTATATTCATATTCGCACGCAGACAGTGAGCTGGTCGCTAGTCCAGGAATTTCACTTCCTCCAGACCTTGATTATCTATATTAAGGAAAACACACCTCCCAGTAGTCTTTCAGCCTAATGATCAATTTTTGCCTTACCAAACGCCCAGTTGCCAAATGTGGTAATGCGAAATCCTCTCAAGATCAAAATGTCTTAGGTTATACAAGAGCAGACCATAACATCTATGGTTCGCATTCTTAAAGAGGGACTTGATCATGCGTACGGTGTCAGTGTCCGGTATATTGCGAACTTGCCCTCTCAATGAATTCGAGTTCAAAGTTCAAATGCAAACAAATCCTGCGTCGAAACAAGCTGGATAGGAATTTGAATAGTACTCTTGACGTTTATTCATAAAGTTTTCAGCGGGGTATGGCTGGAAATGTAAGGAGCTAGACGATGTGGCCGACGAGCATTTCGATAGAGTTGCGGTGTTCCATTTTTTATTCTATATACATTGTTCTATTACCCGATCTATATTTTATGAGTTTTGCTTCTCCTGTAAGGATATTCGAAGAGTCGTCTCAAGCCAGTTTTCAAATAGAATTACATTTTAACATCTTACACTCTGTTTCTCTACCTCTCAATCATCACTTCAACACCCCCTCGATCTGCATCTTCCTCTCTTCAGCTTGTCTTTTCCTAATCCTATCCCTCCATCTAATCACCTCTGCACCAGCCATGCCCCCAATATATCCCGTGATATGCGATTGATAATCCAAAATTTGTTTGCCAGCAGCGCTGCTCGCTCTCCTCCAAGCTAAGACTTCCGACCCAAATAGCATTACTAGTGCTACCCATGAGGGAATCGATGGAGTGAGCCCAAAAAAGCTAATGCCCTTATCTCTTTTATACCACAAGTCTGCCGCCATAACCCCACATACCGCACCGGACGCACCGAGACCTGATGAAATAAAAGCACTTTTCCATACCCATCCTGCCATTGAAGCAAAGGAACATACAGCACCTATCGAGAAATATAGGGCGAGGAAATTTGCGCGACCAACTTCATCATGAAGATCAACTCCAAAGATGGCAAGAAAGACCATGTTCGGGAGAAAATGAGTGAAGGCTTGATGGGAAAAGACACCTCCAATCATTGATAATGCTCGAGGGTAGGCAGGAATGATCATAAAGTATTTGTTGAGCATTGTCCAACAAGGTGGCACACGCCAGAAGAAAAGTACCATAGTGTTAGCCAGAATTAGTGCAGAGACTGTGGCAACTGCGGGTGGAATTTCTGGAAACATGCGAGAGTCTCGGAGAGGGGGTATGTAGAAATGTGCCAATGTACACGAGACACCCACTGTTAAGAGAACAACTAGAGCGGAAGGCCAAAGACGAGTAAAAGCAGAAAATTCGGGAATAACATCAGGGACAGTTTCTTGCGCCTTTTTCTCAAAGTGTTTGAGCCATGGATGTTCACCTTTTCGACGAAGTTCTACTCGTGATCTTGGTTTGACGTGATCTAATGTGCCAGTGTTATATCGTATCTCATCTGCTTGGCTCAACTCTTCTTCCTTCTTCTTCTTTTCTAAAGCGGCTGCTTTTGCTTGATTGGCTTTCCTGATAGCATCTAATCCACTATCACCATATACACTTTTTTTCTCTTCTGCTGGCGCATTCGAATCATTTGGTTTGTACATATTGAGATTGATTCTTCCCCCCCTCGTTACACCACCTCCAACATTAGGCACATATATCCCAATTCTTTCGGAGTCTGAAACGATTTCTCCCTCAATCTCGGCTAGTTCTTGTTCGGCTCGTAAGGCTGCGTTCTCATCCTCATCAACTGGAACATTCTTTCTTAGCCATGCTAATGCGTTTCTCTGCGCGACTTCCTCCCAGTATGCTAAGGAACTAGGCTCATCTGGATCTGGTAAGGTTCCCGCCACTCTTCGTCCATGTATAACTCTCAGAAATCGTTCTGCCGAATCTACATCCATTACACGTCCAAAAATCGCCTGGATTTCCTCCTCTGTAATCGGATCCTCTCGATAATCTAGACCCATTTGATCTTCATAGTCTGCTGGTAGTTGGTCATATCTTGTATATATTGTCTTTCCAAGCGTAGCCTTTGGAGATAATTTCTTTGGAGGCAATTCCTTGGATAATGTCGAATTCTTTGGAATTTTTGAAGCCCTTCGTTTCGAGGCATAAAACCTCTTCGAGCAGTGCAACCCTAGAGCTCCTGACCAGCAACAGTTTTCAACCTCTGGTTTCCCTGCGCCTAGTCCCCTCCTTCGAAAAGGCGCCGACGATATCGAATACGGTCGTATAGCTCCATGAGCAAGCCTCGAGGCTAAACCATCAATTCTGCTGCATGTTTGTAGAGTGACCCAAGTTTGTAAGCACGAACTGCGTGCTGCAGGCCAAAGACTATTCATCTTCAACTTCTTACTATAATGTCATACCTTGCTTTGAATCATTGGATGAAGGAACCCCACTATGGTGTTCTTATTCGCCATCGAATTTCCTAGAGATTGGATTTGGAGATCATAGAAAATCTACGCGCACGGACCAATATGCGATAATTCCGCGCGGGCAGCTGTTGCCTCGACTTCAACCCCTCCATTCCTATCACTTATTACAATCTCTCAGATACAATCATCAATTCACGACATCTCGAAATTTTCTCTGTAAATTTCAAGAATTTGAAGAGCCAACACCTCTCTTGTTTACCGACAAAGGAATATCAGCTTTCACAAATTCCAACTTTAGGCATAGCCGCAAGAGCTATACACAACCCCTCCAACAGCATCCACAAACTTGATAAATAATTCTCAAATCTACCCAAATATCAACATGTCCGCCGACGCCCTCCCAATCTCCCCTGCCGCATTCGCAGAAGCTCTCAAAGATCTCCCCATGTCTACTCTTCACCTCAAAGCCGCCGAACTACGCAATTCCATCGCACATCTCGATTATTCTAACGAAGAATTGAAACCTTTCGCTGAAGGGAGAGCTCCCGAATGTGTAGACGGGAAGGCGGATGAAGATTGGTATGTTATTCTCCTTTGAATTCTTTTCCATACTTTACAAAAGAAGAATGCAATCCTCTTAGAAATAACTACTAATCAAATCTGACAGTATTGACGCCATTCGCGAAAACGAAATTGTAATAGCCCGCATGGAAACCCGCATCTCACTTCTCCGCACAGAAATCGAAGCTCGAGGTGGAGTATGGGGCGAATATGAAGCTGGCGCCGAACCTAAGCCAGAAGAAGATGTATCATCTCCCGCTCCTGCGACAAACGGCACAACCTCTGCGAATGAAGAAAGTAGGAGTAACCCTTGGGCCGATGGAACATTTACTACGGGACGAATTGTGGGAGGTGAAGTTGTGATGGATTCAACACCTGCAGCTACAGCAGCACCTCCAATGGCGAATGGGGTATCGGCGGCGAATGGAGTTACAACAAATGGAAACACTGCGACTACGAATACAGGAGGAAGATTGGACGATGAAGCTTTACGTCGAGCAATGGAATTACGGATGCGCGAAGATGCTGGTGCGGATGAGGAGGAAGGTATGCATTTGTGAGATGGTAACTCGTATTTCGTCTCACATAGTACCCGTTGGTAATCTTGGAAGATATCTGTTCGAGAAGGGCTTAAAATCACCGACTATGAGGAATGCTCTAAGAATAATCCTTGGAGACCCTGCCAACTACCCTTCGACTCGTTTTTTGGCTCATTTCCACACCTTTCAACACCGCAAGATCAATTAAGGAGCCTCAACGACCGGAACATCTATTTGCCTAACAATTACCCATAATTCAAACCAACACAATCTTAACGACCCCATACTCAACAATCAACCTTCTCAACAGGGTATGTCTTGAAAACTAAGAGTCAAATCCACTATAAAATAACAAAGCAAAGAAACAAAGTCACTGCAATCCAAAGGAGTCACTTGTAGTATCTAACAAGACGGGTTCTCCAACCATGGTATTCAACTCCCACCCTACAAGCAACAAGGTGATTATACCATAGAAACTCAACTTTCTCCGAATTCATCCACGCGAGCAAAACAGCAAACTCGTTCTTCATATCCCGGGTTTCCGCACAATATCTCTCAGTTATAACTCATTCCATCACATCTCATCATGATACCAGCTCATATTCTAAAAAATTCAATCTTCACATCTCACAAAAGTTTTTGCTCTATTTTTTATTTCATTTATTTTTTGGGCATCGGCGGCGTTATAGATACCATTTCCTTTCATTTTCTCTCTCCCTCTCGTGTTTATTGTTATAACTGGTCTTCTAGCTTTAAATAGAAGAAGAATTAAATTGTCGTTCAAGAGATCCATCTACCCATCCATCCATCTAGTCAGTTAGCTAGCTAGCTACCTACCTACCATAAATCTCCACGATAAAACTTTCCTTTGCCTTGGAATTATACAGATACAGATACGAATATGAAGATATAAAAATATGAAGATATAAAAACACAAAAAGACAAAAATACAAAGACGTGACGTGACGTGACGAATAATTCGTATTTTGTAGCAGATGATTGATTATAATAAATATCACGAATTAGGGAAGGCCAATATCAATACCAATACCAATACCAATACCAATGACAATGACAATACCAATACCAATGCCAATGACAATGACAACGATAAGGACAAGGACAATAAGAATATCATATCAATAAAAATAACGATGCAATATTACCTAATTACAAATACAATCAAGACGGAAGAAGAGAGGAAAGAATCGCAATCCTGGTATCAAAGAATCCCCAACCCGTCCAATCCAATCCAGTCCATGGACATGGATATACTATTAACAACGTACGCATCCGTTCTTCTGAAAACATATCATATCCCTCCCTCATCTACCCAACCAATCATTTTCCCAGTCTCCTCACTATTAATCGATCCCCCACCTACCCACCTACCCACTCACCCTCCCCCCCCCTCCACCCCCCACCCACACCAACCACCTAAACATCCTCTCTCCCTGCGCTCCCCCCCCTCCCCGCCACAGAAGTCCTACTCTTCCTCTCCCTCAAACTTCTCCTTCCCCCCGCCCAACTCCTCCTCCCCTCGTCCACCACCAACGGCACGCCCGTATATCTCAAAACCGGTACGCTCATGCCATACGCCCGCGTCTTGCCCTCTGCATCATGCTGATCAATCTCGACTCGGACCACCACGTCTAGACTTCCATCTCCGCTCTTGCCGTGATATTGCGGATCCGCTGCTTTGTATGCGCTTCCTGCGCCCTGTTCGCCCTTGTGGAGGGGGGAGTGTCCATCTTTTGGTGTTTCCGAGGCGGGGAGATCGTAGGGTCCTGAGGAGGAATCAACTGGCGTTTCAGCATTTCCATTCTGGGCCGGAATGGAAGATGCCGAGGAAGGTGAATTTTCTGTAAGAACTGCCCAATTTCGACTTGGCATCGTGACAGTATTACTCTTACTACTCTTCTTCTCATCTCCCGGATCTCTATCAAAGAAGCTCAACAGTGTCTCATCAGTCTCTTTATCTAAATGATGAATTTTATTTCTCTTCGCTAAAAGATTTGCGACCGCTTGCGGAGGAGGCTTATTAACAATGGCTGAAGAAATGATATTCGCCATATACTTGTAATCTGTTGAAACTGGTATGTTCAAGTGAGGATTTGAGTAGAAACGTCCAACGGCAGCGAGATGTACGTCGCCACCAAGAATGGTGATACGGACTGAGAATTCGGATGCGAGGGATTGAAGTTGTTTGATAATGTAGTGACGTTCTTTTTTGTGGGTATGTGCTGTATAATGATCATCGAGATCATCAAGAAGATCTACACTGCCATCGAAATGATTGAAGAAACTTCCACCTAGCAATGAGGGTTAGCAAGTACTATAGATAAATGGATGTATCAAATATCGCTAACCAAATCCAAATCGCTTATTCATAAATTTGAGTGGGCCCATTAAGGGGCTTGAAAAAATATTCTCTAGCCATGTCAAACGCTACAAATATTAGCATCATATCATGTTTGAATTGTAATATTAGACTTACTGGGTATGCGATAGGGATTCCGAGTAAAATAATAAGATGCTGAATAGGATTTGGAGAATCTTTTGCGGCTGTAAGTTCTTCTCGAAGACGATCGAAAATTTTCTTGTATGTTTCTGGATAGTTGACTTGATGACGTGTACGCTAGATTAAAGGTCAATATATTCCCTGGTTGATAATTCTGACTACTTACTTCCGTTCTAGCATCAATACCAAAGAAAGCAACTCTTGCGCCTAATCTTGCATAGATACTACGGGAGCGCTCTGCTACATATGGCTGCAAATTATTAGCTTTATCTTTTAAGACAACGCGAAATTACTTACACCGGGGCTATCACCAATAATATAACTTGGATCAGGAACGTCATTTTCCAATACATATGTATTTTCTATTTGACGTGGATCAATTCCACCTCCATTCGTGGACATGGTCTGAGGTGCATCTGAGAAATATTAGTATAGGACAAAAGAATGGTCCGAGGAACAACGCACCAGTCGTGAATGTAGATGCCGGAGGTGCAAGATGATGCTGAAAGAGTAAATAGTATTTATGAGCAACACCACCAATACCGCGGAAAACGGGACAACGCATAAATTCATCAACGTATGAACCAAAGCCATCAATGATCTATTGAATTGATTAGTAGCTAAACCTATCATGAGACAAAAGACACCTACGTCATGATCATCCCAAAGATTGACTTGAGGGATCTTGCCATTCATCGCAGCAAAAGGTTCTGTGGAATACCTGTACCCTAAAGTTAATTTTCGTAGCCTAAATCTTCCACTCCAACCATTGACTTACCAGCGAATATAATTCTTGACATAATAATCATCACAGTCTCTCCTCAACTGTTCGGGAAAAGGATACTCCCTTCTCTTGATAGGATTGCCAATATCAGTCCAAGGTCTCAGAGGACCATTGACTCTAATTCCATCATTATAAATCTGGTCTCCACCACCAAGCCTATCGAATGTTAGTCTGTACCAATCCGAAAATCGAGGGTATCCCTACATCACATGGAAAGGAGCTTCCTCATGTTTTCGTGCGACATCTCTCCAAAGACAAGCACCACTATAAGCTCCCTCATCTGTTCCTACGCTAAATCCATTACAAGAATGAAACATTATTCTCATACTCTCGGTAACCGCTGGTACGAAAAAGGTTTGTCTATCCGTCTTTCCTCCTTCAGCAAATGTGAGACCGGGAATTGTGTATTCGCATCGAAGTTCTTCTTGTAGCATTGGAACTTGGATATGAAATCTCCAAAAAGTATTCGCAACATCTGCATAAAGCTTGACTCCTCTAACTTTGATTTCTTCCAAATCGCTAGAAGTATTAGACACTCCATTTTGTTGTAGAATATTGCCATTTGATGCTTGTGCTAGGTGTACGTTCTCGGAATAATCTACCCCGTTAATAATCCCCGGCGCTTGATCATGACCATTCAATTGTTCACTCCCAGTGGCAATACCCGCCCCATTACCATTTTGTGCAGCCTGTCTCCTCTCTTGGACTCGTAATCTCAACTCCGGTACTGCATCTTCCCTGACCGTATGCGAATCAACCACAATCAACACACTCCCAAACCAAACATCATTTTCCATCCGTCTATAATTAAGCAACGGACCACACTTAACCGTTGCCCCCGCGCCAGTCCTCTGTACCCCATTCACGGCATCCCTATGCTCCAATTCCTCTTGTTCCCTCCTCGCAGCTTCAAGTTCCTCGGACTGCGCATTCCCAGCTAGTACAATTGGTCGATGCGGACTGGGTGAACCTTTGCCTTGAACTCGCGATTTGTTAAGAAAACCAGCCAAATCCTCTTTTTCATTTCTGCCCTCTACTCCTCGAGCTCCGATGTTTGCATGATTGGAAAATGCGGTGGATTCTTGGTGGCGCCATGGATTCGAGGATGCGTGGGTGTCGATGTGCTCTTTTCCGTGCAGGAGATCGTCCCGATAGTGAGCTGCCATTGTTTATGGGAGCTGGGAATTCGGAAGCTGTGAATTATGTGTATGTATGGTTATTCGTGTTTTTTGTCGGTGATGTGCGCGAGGGAGAAGTAGAAGATTAAATTGTTGATCCGTTTTTAAAGTAAATGATACGGCCCGTCCGCGTTTCTACCAGTTGACCCAAATGCGTAATATAATGCTTTGTGCAACCTCGAGATTACTCGCTGAGTAGGTTCCCTCTGATCGCAATTAGACAGGTGCCTACCTAGGTATAGAAATGTCAATTCACTCCCTCACAGGACATAGAATCCAAAACAAGATAGAAGTTTCTGCTTCCTGAAAAGCGAATGTCACCGTGGCAATGACAACAAAAGCGAAAAAGACCAACAACAACAACAATTATCATTCATTTCTATCAAAAACAAGTTAAATTCTCACTTTCCCCAATTTCTCTTGGCTTATACAACGCCAAGAATGTAATCAAATACAAAGAAATTATATGGTAGACCTATCGCATCTGGTGGGGCTTGAAGTTCTCCATCAGAATCACGGACCAGCAGGGAAAGGGCGATCATTTATGTATGAAGTAATGTGTGAACTTTGAAGTTTGTAAAAATCCTTGTCGGAGTACGAATTGGATCAAGGTAGGAGATGCATTTCCTCTCTTTGACCAATGGGAGATGGTTTATGGTTTAGAGTTTGTCGATATATTCTCCTCTTCTTTCCCTTGCAGCGGCTACGTCGAATCGAATGAGGGACTATTATACTACACTCGGGATCTAATATACCATAACCCATACGATCATACCAGCTGATATCTTCACACCAGCCATCTTCAAAGATCTAATAACAACCTTAGCCGATAAATAGCGCATACGCTATCCTCACATGTAGTTCACTAGTTTCAAGTCAACGATCGATTAGCTGACGCAGTCGATGAGGTAGTCTCCTTGGCACGGATGAAAGTAGCCTTATGAAGAGAATTGCTAGGTCTTACATGAACTACATAATATCGTATTCGGATTTACACATAGGTCCACGGGTAGGTAGGTATGTAGCGGTACTGTTTGGAAGGAATAATTATGAATCGCAATGGGTTTGATGGTTGATGGTTTATTTAGTTTATCATTCTAATGCTTATGGATATCGTTTCTGGGCATGGTGAGCTTGTGATTGCTTGTTCAAACCTCTTCACCGTCCGTCTCGTCGATATTCGCACATACCACACGGCAATCATAACCATGGATCCCAGAAATCAACTCGCGTATTAGCCATCCCGCAAATCTTTGTTCGATGCAGTAGTTCGAGTAGAAGTCGAGCAACATTCCATTGAAACGTCCCAAACACCATTCTTACTGTAAACATTGTGCGCCTCGGTCGATACGAATCGAGTCGAGTCGAGTCGAGTCAAAACTAACACACCCTGACCCTCGCCCTCACCATCACCCTCATCCTCACAAACCACAAACTCTCGAAACCACCACCGGTCTCGGTTGCACATTCTCATTCGCCTCATCCATATACCTATTCCCCCAATCCTTCACCTCCCTCTCCAACCCCTCAATACTCTCACATCTCAGTATCTTCACTCTATCCCCCTCCCCCTCCCCCTCTCCCCCCCTCATCAAGGGTTCCAACACCCTCAAAATCCACGTCCGACACGTAATTTCCCCCTCATTCAGCGTCCCATCCAGACTTCTAAAAACCCCATTCACATACTCCTCTTGCCCATCCGGAATCGCCGCAATCTGAACAAGACAAACAAGAAGCGCTTCTTTCAAAATCCCTCGGGTGCTTCCGTGATCGACAGTCCAGCCCGCACCGCGGTTTCGGACGTGGTATTTGATACCGCCTTTTTGCGCGCTGTGGTGCAGGTAGAGTGCCCAGTGGAAGTCGTCGGCTTGGTTGGGATATCCGCGGTTGAAGAGGACGATGTAGAGGGCGTTGGGTTGGAGAGTTGATAGGGACATGGTGGGATTGATGTGGTTAGAATTGGAGTTGTGAGTTTGAGTGACTGTAGGCTTCTTTCATAGGTAGGTAGGTAGGTAGGTAGATATGTGTGATTATTTCTCTCGATGACCAGTTTACTGATTTGGCGATACTACTTTGGTGGTACTACTTTGGTGATACTACTTTGGTGATACTACTTTGGTGATACTACTTTGGTAATAATAGATACTTCTATGAGTGAATAGCCCTCCATAACATATCAACCATCAAAAAGATTTGTGAGATAAAAATGCATTTTTAAATATAAGAAGATACCTTTTAAGGAGGACATACTAAATATTTACACCCAAGTATCAACCACATATAAATGATTACTCCCATTACTTAATTGCTAGGTATTCGCGATATTTTCATACTCTAGACTCCCAAATCGTGAAGACAAATAGACAATTTCTAGCACAGTAAAAGCACATCGTTATTCATTTCACCGCAACAATCTTGATCATATAAATTCCATACAAGTCCATATAGTTATCAAGAATACTTACTTACTTACAATTTCTCTAACATTTCAACTCTATCATAAGTTTATTCGACGATTTCATAAATCTAATTATAATCTTTTATTTACTTGCGTTTGTATATATAACTAGCTGATACATATCGTATATACTTGAATATTCATATGAAAATACTTATATCCTTAGGGACCTATTCATTATCAATATTATTAGGTATCATCATCACCAGCTGCAAACAATCAAATCTGCGTACGATAGAGGAAAAAGAAAAATTAGATATTTAGGTTTAAGATCCTGAATCCATAACTCGAAAAATTCAAATCCTACCTACTTACTACTAACTTTGGATACGTACCTGACTATCCTATCCCATATCTTATTGCGGAGTATTAGTGTTACTAGATAGATACTAGATAGATATCCTAATAATCATTCATACTCTACGAACACCTACATACCATAATACGATCCGACCAATTATCTTACTCAAGATGTTTAGAAAAGAAATTAATAAATCGAATGAATGAATGAATGAATCGAACGAACGAGCCTACGGAGTAATGAAACGGAACTACGATAGTTTACTCGTATATACATATCTAGTATATACTAGGAATATATATATATATATATATATATATATATATACTAAGTACCTACTAATACTCAAGTCAGCCGATCAAAATGTAACGGTTCAGGTTCCCACGTTCCAACCCAGAACTGCGGTTTGTGTGTGGTTACACGACATACCTTCCTTGTGTTTTGATACCTGGTGACCCCAACTCGAGTCTGGGTGTGTAGAGAGGGAGGTACTAGGTATGTATTGTAGTGTATGGGAATTGAAGGGGTGGTGGTGTTGGAAGTGCTGATTTGGAATACCTACCTAGGTATCTACCTAGTAGTCGACACCGCTTTTCTAGGTATGATATGATATGTTATGTGTGTGGATAATAAATTGCAATTGCAATTGCGGGCGGAAAGTTGGATGGTATACTTATATTTTAAGTTAGCGGTAATGTAATTATCATATCCTCGGTATTTATCTACTTTGTATACTAAGTAATATCATAAGCGCAATAAGAAATGCATCTGTCTACTTAGTATCTACTACCTAGGTATGTATCTCTCCTCAAACAACCCGAGAACACCTCCTAGTAAAGATGAACCCAAACGCTTAAAAGATCATCACTCTTCTGTGTTTAGTTTCGAGTTTCGAGTTTCATATCTCGAGAGCGGATACATACATAGATTCGTAGGTATGGAGAGAAAATTATTCAGGGTCCACTCCATATTTTCATGGCTTGATTAACGGATTACTGATTAGGGGTCTGGGAGAAATCGAGGAAAAGGGCAGGTGTGTGGACGTACGGACTACGGAGTATGCATTGCGCGGGCTGGGGAGGGACGTGATAAGTAGATGGATGGGTACTTGCTACTCGGTATGTTTTCTTAGCAAGGAGGCTCGGAGGCAAGTTTCTGGCTCGTCTGGGCTGGCTGTATGGTAGGTCGGTGGATGGACGGGATTCTGTGGGGATGAATGGATCGGGGGATGGGTAGGTGGGGGATTGCGTTTTGGATACCTGGTAGGTACTTATCTGAGGGTTGAGGAATTGGGGATCGATGGTTTGGTTTCTCGATTATGTGAATAGGATGGTGATGGATGGGAGGGGGAGGTGTGAAAGATGGAGATGAGTGAAGTGAGTAGGTGAAGATATAAAAGAATTGAACATGATACTAGATAATTCTCATTTCATTTCGTAACTCGACAACAATACGATACACCACAACATCCCAAATCTAACCTCGGATATCACCTCTCCTTCATCAAACATAACAGATCATTGCATTGCCCCTCGTGGCGAGGGTTACATTATATGGGGCAGCAAGGGGGATAAGCAAGGGGGAATGTGAGAATTTGAGAATGGACAATAACATACCCCAGTTACTTCGTTTCTATGGAGTACCAAGTATGTATGTATCTCCAGTCAGTAGAAACCAATTTCCGTCTCTTATGTGTATATGTTTCCATCCTTCATTCTCACAAAGACTGGATGGATTGGATTATCGCAATTGAAATGAATGCATCCATGGATTTCACCATTGATCATCAGAGGAATCAAATATGCTGAGAAACATTACCATCGACTAGATTGTGAGATTGTATCTCGTTTCTCCCTACTAAACTAGATCGCAATCGCTTGGCCGTTTAAGCAACCCAACCCCTGGTTATCGATAAAGGGATTCATTTATTCATTTATTCAATTACCTACTACCTAGTACGAGTAGGTTTTCAATCATTCAATCATTCATTCATTCTTTCGTATTATCTACTCAAGGTAGTATGTGTGACTAAAAACATATTGGAATCCTTTTGCATATCATACATCCATATCATCCATACCATCCATACCGACCATACCGACCTTTCATCCAAGCCTCAATTATTAATAAGTGCATACGATACAGAATACGAACTTGGTCTTGTCAATTGCATCTCTGACATCACTTCCAATCCCATTCATCATTCTCCCTCTTCTGTTTTCTTACTTGTTCTCACTTCAAATCAATTAAACCAAGATCGAAAAGACACATACCATCAAAGTCTTGTCACATTCAATCCCAATCGTGGAGACTATCTGGAATAGAGACCATCACCATCACCACCAACATCACCATCACCATCCTCCCATCCCATCCCATCTCATCCCTTCCGCTCGGACTCGAAGCAATATCAAAATAGAAGTTACAGAGTACAACAAACGAATCCAAACTACCCAAGGACTTATCATTAGCCAGTCTAATCACTCGTTACACCATTGTCATTGTCGATCCTTCAAACTATAACTTCCTACAATTCTATATTTGTTACAAAGGTTTCCATTCAATTGGTGCTGGAAAATTCAATTGATGACTGTGGATTAAGATTGGCTACTTCATCAACCTACCAGCCACGAAAGCCACCAATCATAATCATCCATACCTTTCATACTTCTATACCTCTCACACGAGACGACTCCATTTCTCGGGAATCTTAACTCAAACTCAATATTTACTTGCATATACAATACCCAAGACTCACTTGAAGCAATACTTCTCAAGGGATTATCGAAAAGGATCCATCCCATCCCGCATATTTCAAACCAGCATTTCCCTGCTTGAGGATCCTCCCATTCGAAACAAGCCGCAACCACAGAATGAGTGAACTGCGCAACGTCACCTTCATGCGTTAAACTTTTCCTACGATCATCTCCTCATTTTATAATCCTATAGACGTTTCTTCTCCTCTCACCATATCAAAGAATTGAGGAATCATGTCTATAGATGTTGCTCTACAATCCGTTGCATTCTATATATTATCCTGCGCTACGTGCGCCAAAATTAGCCATAGAAGGAAAGCCAAAGAACAAGCCAAACGAGAACGAGTCGAAAAACATGCATTGGAAACCGAACAACCGGGCCTGTATAGGCATCCTTCCCCATTCTCGACGAATCCATATTGGACAGAAGAAATCATGATGGGGCCCGGTCCACCGAATAAAAAAGGGAATAAGAAGGATAAGAATGGAAGTCAGAGAGGATTGAATACAGCAGGACAAGGGAGTAGTTATGCGAGTAGTGCGGGGATGAGTACGGACACAGGGAGTAGTCCTACGGTTGTTGAAGAAGGGTCTCGAATATCGGGAGAGGGGTGGAATAGGAAACGATATCAACGGGAAGATGAGCAACTTTGGGGTAGGGAAACTTATGGACCGGGTCATAGAATTATGGATGCAATTACAAGAGCTTCGGAATCCGCGGGGAGAATGTTCAATATGGATGGGAGACCTAGTAGTAAACATGGATCGGATGGGAATCCAGAGTCGTATTATATTGCGAGGAACCCGCCAGTGAACGATTTACATCCACCAATTGTTAGTACGGCGCCAAGGAGTAGAGAAGAAACGAGATGGATGATACAACCACCTCCTTCGGCAAAAGTAATGGAGGGGAAGGAGAGAGTAGTCAGTACTAGTAGAAATCGAGCAGGCAGTCATGGGAGTAGTCGAAGAGGTACAGAAGGTCAACCATTAGGACGAATCGTCACGGAAAAACTTATCGATGCCAAAGTTCAACGTGGAGAAACTCCTTCCAAATTAGAAATCCGTTCTTTCACAAACAGAGGTCAACAACACGATCGAAACAGAAGTTCATCGACAGATTCCTGCAGCTCTTCAGATGGATACACAACGAGACGATCCAGAAAACCATCTCCAATCACGGTTCCCAAAGCTGGAAATAGTAAGCCCCGTGGAAAAGCAGAGCATATTCCCATACGAGACTTGGAAGTGGCAACAGAGATGCGGGAAACGAATGCGAATGGGAGGCCTCTTCTAGCGACCATTGTTAGCTCGTCAAATGTAGTTTCACAGTTACATAAGAGTCAAAGTACAGATTTGCCATTGAGAGAATTGCCGGGATCGACTACTGGCAATGGAAATGAAAATGGAAATGGAAATTCG